GGAAATTCACAGGGGCGATTTAATACACTGTTAATACACAGAGACACTAAAGTCCATTGATTCTGTTTGCATGTTTAGACATTTTCATTATGTACATATAGGTCTTCATATTGCAGATGACCATGAATAAACTGAACTGATGCCTTTATAACTGAAGACCTTCATGTGTGAATTAACTGCAGTAGTCTGCAAGCTTACTGTCTCTGAATAAAAAAAATCAGGCACTGTGAAGTCTTCAACATTGGGACTACAGTAAAACGAGATTTACAGGGAATCCTCAGCTGCTTCACACTTGGGGTCATGTCAGCCTTAAGCAGAGAAGTGCCAAATCTAATCTAGCATGTACTGCCTAGTAAGCCTGACTGAGTACCATTTAACATGGTGAATGAATTAGGCTTTGCCTTAATCTACAATTTCAGATATGGGCCAAATAATCCATTTTAGTTTGATTACTGTAGACAGAAATGCTAAACAAGAATTTACCCAATTTGCTTCAAAATGAACCTCAGGGAGAAAAAAACATGAGGTTAGCAATTGAGATTTATTTGCATAGCCTTGTGCTAGCGGTCAAATTTTAATTTGGGGAGATAAAAACATAAGCAAAGAGAGAAGTCTGTTTGCATATATCTGAAACTGTGTGGTTGTGTGTGAGGTGGATTTAGCGAAGCTTATCTTCGTCTTTTCCTATTTCTATGTGATAATAGTGCTGTTTGCCTTGCTTTGCTACAATTTCTATGTTGATCATGTATATATACATGCTTGCCAGCCTTTTCAAAAGGCTATAACCGCTATATTTTTAAATAAAAGAAAAAGTTGTCTTCATTTCAGAATTTTTGTCCTTGTAAGATTATTATTTTGTTATTAGTTATACATCATCACACAATAGGCCCCGCCCACTGGCGTACAGCCGCTTAACGGCTGACACTTTACTAAACTGGATGTGAGTGTCACGTCAAAAGCAAATAAAACCCATTATAATCACTGATGCTGTCTACACTGGATACAGTATAGCCTACAGATGCACGTTCGGTTTCTGACATACTCCACATGCTTGGAGTATGTCACGAGTTAATATCTCAGAATTATGAGATAGGCCTACATTTTTCTTGACAAAAAAATTTTTCACTCTGTTTTTATGAATTAATGTGTTACTCATAATTTTGAGATAATTGAGTCATTAATTCAGAAAAAAACAGAGCAAAAACTTTTTTTCCATGAAAAATAATCTCGTAATTCTGAGATAATTAACTCGTTAATTCAGAAAAACAGAGTAGATTTTTTTCCTCAAGTGAATGCAATACGCTTCAGTAGTAATGGAGAATTCGCAAAAAAAAAAAAAATTATTGAAAGATGAAGCAGCCGAGTGTATTGGATTTGACAGCAACTGCATCACAAACCGCATGATTTCATAATGCTTTGTCTGTAAATTATGGTTTTACGTGGAAAACGTTTTCAAAACACTTGCGCAATTGCGAGTGGGCGTTGATACTGTTTCTTATGCAACAACATAACAGCCAATCATAATAGTGGCCGTTTACTGACAAGCCTTAAAGGAGCCGCCCCCTTTAAAAATTGATTATTTCAAACAGGGTCAGAACGGAGGTCGAATTTCGAAAACAATATTTTTTCCACACATAAATGGGTGATTCTATAATTTTGTATTTCAAAAAGTTAAGGGAAAAAACTGTTCACTAACAGAAATTATTTCCAGTGTCTTATTGAAAACATTTACAATTTTAAAAATGCATTGCTTGCCAAACTTGCTAGAATAAATGCTAAGAGCACATGGAACTAATGAAACAACTTTTAAACAACCCACTGTGTGATCCGTGATAAAAAAAAAATCAGTTTTCCTTTTGATACTAACAATTTTGACGTTTTACAAAATAACTCTTGGTGTAAGAATTTTAGATTAAAATATTTTCTCAGAGAGAGCACACATTCCTTTCAGTGCTTCAGATCTAATCAGTGAGGGAAAGTGACATAATTTCCCGTATCTTACTATTTAAATGCAAACTGTACAGTAACAGAATTGACGCAAGATGTATGGACACATTTTGTATGAGATAAAAGTTATTTTTAAACAATTTAGGAAACTTTCTGACTTTAGGGATTCTATAAATAAAATAAATGAAATATTCCCAAATGAAAAGTAAAATAAAAATATTTTGATTACACAATGATACACTGAAAATGATTTTCAGCTAGATAAGGCACTTTTTTTCCTTTTTTTTTTTACAAAGAATATTATATTGTTATGGCCTGTAACATCTTGTGATCTATGACAATGATTAACAATTTATTAAAATAATTAAAAATATAACCATTTGAAAAAAAAAAAAAAGCGTAAAAAAAAAATAGTGACTTTGGACACCAAATGTACCTGCAATTATAAATCAATGTCATGACAACCTTTAAGCAAAAGTTATCTAGGCTTTTGGAAGTCGTTATTTGGACAGACAGCATGTGCACAAATCAATTGAATCAAATTCAATAGGCCAATATGAGGCTGAGAGGGGAGCTCAACTTTGTCAACACATGCTGTTAATGGAGAGAAGACCTCCAATGATCGCTCGACCACAAGCGGCTTTCTTAACCGGATCACTGCGACTGCAGACCTACATGAAATGTTCATGTGACCAAAGAGGATTCACACACACACATTTAACCTATCAGCTCTCATATTTAGCTCTTCCTCACATCTTGTAGCTGCGCGCAGACTAGGCCTACAGGTGAAAATCAAACATTCCCAGCTCCAATTTAAAAGTGAATACGTATTGATTTGAGTGTTAAAAGTAAAGTGGTTTGATTGATCTGTCTGCTGCCCTACAAAGTTCGTTAGGTGTTAATGTACCTTCGGCTCAGATCAAAGAGAATCTTTAGAGTTCGTGTCTTGACAAAAAATCCATTTCATAAACCAGCAAAATGTGGATACAGTCTGTCACCTAGTGGCCAGTTATATGCACAGGCACTCTTGCCATGGAAAATATTACCATGGTACATGATCAAAAACGTAATACAGGCCTACAAATAGTGCTTAAAAGTAGTTAAGTTAATAAATGATTATTAATGTATTCAAAATTGTAACTCGATTCTCAAATAAAATGCTAAAAAAAAAAAAAAAAACACGATGGAAACTGAAATGGAAATGAGTTGGAAAGTAAAGGATGAAAGTGGTGACAACTTTGAAGAAGCTCAAATATAAGATTAGGTTTGATTTTGTATAACATGTTTGGTTGCTACATTGTCAGGCTTCTTTTTTAATTATTTCATAAAACAATAATAAAGAATGAGTCAGTATTCCAAATATATTTAATTGTACAACAGTGCTGTTGAATGCTCGAATCTGATCGGTCGACAAACGTTCTAAGATGTGCAATTATTTTAATGCAAACGTACGGCTAAGTAGTTCCAGGCAGTTCTTGACCGCATTACATTTCAATGTCACTTCGCCAAATGATTTCAGTTATGTTAAGTTAAGGTCCTTACAGACTACAACAGCAAAAGAACCAAAACCAACAACGTCACTGACCCAACAAATAAATATAGTAAATAATAGGATAAAAGTTACAAATTATTTTATAACGTTTTATTATGTGTAGCTATAGCATATCCTTCTCCCACTCTCTCTCATAATCAAACGCACACACACCGGCACAGAAACGTGTTGTCAGCGCCAGTGTTTGAGAAAGTTACTTTTAATAGTAATGCATTAAAATATTGCGTTACTCCCCCAAAAAGTAATTATTTGCGTTACTCAGTTACTTTTTAGGGAAAGTAATGCGTTACATTACTTTTGCGTTACTTTTTCTCTTCTGGGCTGGGCTGTTTGTTTTTTTTGTTTTTATGGCAAATGTAAAGGCCCTTTCACACCAAAAGTGAAATAAATGAGCTGAAAGAAATGCAAATTCATGCCTGTACAGAAGAGGGCGCAGCTCAAACAAAAATGCCAGCCGTGCTCCAATTCTGGATCACAGAAGAATAGGATGCAGGAGAAGGAGAAGAAAAGAAACCCAAATGTTTATCTAAAGTTGAATTGGATCTTCAAAGGTTAACAGCAAAGACATTGCTTTAAAAAGTGAGATTAAACACATAAAGCATATTTCTTTTATTTAACATTAAGTATTGCAGGTTTGCGTAATATTCTGAGTTTGCATTTCACTGTTTTTATTCATTTTAAGGAATACTGAATCTGTTTTTGTGTAAGTGAGATGAGTAAATGTTTGGTCATATTTAGTCTAAAACTAGTCTATAGAATAACCATCATGGTTACACAGCGAAAGCTTACCCGCAGTTTCTCTTAACATGGGGACAGGACTCAGGAGAGGTGTCTGTCAATAAATGTTAAAACAAAGTTATTTGCATTACTTATTTAAAAAAGTAACAGAGATATTTTATTGTAAATATAAAAGTAATGTGTTACATTACTAGTTGAAAAAAGTAATCTGATTACATAACTCGCAGTGCTCGTAATGCATTACCCCAACACTGGTTAGTGTTGCTCTGATGATTTTATCAGCAAAGTAGTTTAACAACTTAAAAGCTACATGACATTTCTCACTAGCGAGGTAATGATGGCACTGTTCTTGAAGCAGATAAACTTACAGTTCCGCTAGTAGTAGAGACTCTGCTGCCGAACACTGTTGAGAGACGCAAAGACTCAGGTAATTCACTTACGATTAATCTCTCTCTCTCTCTCTCTCTCTCTCTCTCTCTCTCTCTCTCTCTCTCTCTCTCTCTCTCTCTCTCTCTCTCTTTCCAGTGTTTCCCACACATAGACTAATTCGTGGCGGTGCGCCACAGAATCAACACCGGCCGCCACATATTGCGTTTCGTTATTCATTTATTTTTTTTAAAGCTATTTAAAACACACAGAGTATTCGTTCAGCTGCATTTCCTTTCCCTGTTCTCCCTCCATCTCTGTCACTCACGCGTCTCTCTCACATACACGCACAGACACACACACACAGCCTCTCCCCTCCGTGCACACCGTCTCCATGAAAACGAGATCATCCCTGGAAGCGTGGAAGCTTGGCCTATTTGGTGCAGAGAAGACTGCTGGCGAAATTCACAAGTTCACGAAAGGTTGGTATCTCGTGAACACCTTTACACAATCACACATTAAAAAGTGCTATAAAAAATATTTTATATTCTGAATACAATGTTGTCAAGTGTGGTAATGTTGGAGTCCCGACCTGACCCTTAGCAAACAAGCGATTGCGCCTTCTTTAGAAAGTTAACTAGTCGCAAGTTTGCGGTAAAATGCAGTTGGGTTGTCGAGGTCAAAATACTATATGTAGCAGCTGTGAATCAAATAAACTTATTATAAATAATGTTATGTCTTTTTTTACTCTTACAATGAGGCCTTGTCCACACGGACACGGGTATTTTTATAACCGGAGTTTTTCCTACGGCGTTTTTAAAAAAAATCCCGTCCACACATGCTCGGTCTCCGTCTACATGAAAACGCAAAAACACGCTATCAAGCGCGGTCAAGAGCATGCCACGCCAGCAGGCGGCGATATAACCCTTAACCGTAAAGCCACGTTGGCCAATCAGAAGCGCAAATCTGACGTCAAACACAGCGGATAACGGCGCACATTCTGACGTCGCAAGGCAAAAACCCCGGTTTCACTGTCTACACGACAACACTGTAACCGGCGTTTCTGAAAATCCTCACCCTGGCAGGGGTTTTCAAAAATGTTCGGTTTCAGTGCGTTTCCGTGTGGACGAACGGCCGAACCGCATAAAAAAAGTCACGGTTATAAAAATACCCGTGTCCGTGTGGACAGGGCCTGAATGTTTGCTGCTTCAATCCAGATGAGTATTGAAAAGTATTTTCCGCGACTGAAAAAGGCACGTGTTGAGGATGAGGGCCATTCCCCCCCCCCCGAGGTGTGGTAACCGTCCTATAAGCGGATTAAGCCGTTTAATTATTGTTAAATAATGCACACCCGAGGTGTAACATGTTTTTTTTTATAATTCAATAGCCCGTCGTCAATTGGCTTTATGCACAGCTTCACTACTTCCTGAACTTCAGCCAGCCCTTTGTTTCCTGTCTGTCATTATTGGACAAACTGATTAATCCAGGTGTGCCTGGCCTCAGTAACAATAATCCTGCACACCTGGATTAATCAGTTTGTCCAATAATGACATACAGGAAACAAAGGGCTGGCTGAAGTTCAGGAAGTAGTGAAGCTGTGCATAAAGCCTATTATTCCTAACATAATCCACTCACAATATGCTAATTAGCCCTTGTGCTGTTCCTGCTTGACAAGCAAATCCGCTGGTCCAGCCTGTGAGGATGTTCCTGCTGTTCCACTATATGACCAGATGAGGTCACTGTTTGTCAAAATATAAGGTATTATCAAAATGAGCTGCCATAACCGTGGCCTCCTCTGCCGAATCTCATGACAGGAGTCAAGGCTTCCAGAAGGAAACCAGCATGAAGAAATCTGGAAACCATTAAGCAACCTGCTAGAGCCGCGATTTGAGCGGGCGAGAGATAGAGGACGGGAGGGGGAGAAAGGGGGATGGGTTAAAACTGGGAGTGGAACAGAATGAACGATCAACTTCTTTTTCCTCCTTGACTTCAGTCTCAGTAGACAGACACACACATACACAACTGCCTTCATTTGGATTCCAGTACGACCCCTCCCATACTTTTTTCCTTTGTCTTTGCAAAGCAGTTTGTCTCAGGATTAATTTCTCGAATGCTAGAAAGGGTGGGACGTGGCTGCAAGCGGGCAGGCGGGAAACTCGCCCATGGGCTGCAGCTGTGGTCCACACATCTGTCATGATCATAGATGGGCGACACCATAGACACTTGGTTTAAATGCAAGAACTGACAGTAGCCAGACAGCATGTCCTTTCAGCCTGTCATCTCCAGCAAATAATGACCGCATTCATGTCTGAGGCTTCACCGCAAAACAATAAAACAGTTGAGACAAGGAAGATGGTTGTATCTTCCTCTCTGGCCCATCACCAAAAAATGTGTGTAACTGTGTAATATGTGAAATTTTTCAATGTCACATACTTTTCTTCTTGCCCAGCTCAATATGAAGAAACAACTGTAAGTGCTGCATTTGTAGGTTGATTTCCACAAACATTGTAAATATTTTTTCTGGCACAGTTCAAATATTGCTGTGTCAATGTAACATGTAAAAAAAATATATTTTTTTATTGGAAAATTAAACATTTAATCAAACTTAATCCTTAATTAAACAACTGGGAGGATACCAGTGATCAAACTAAATTTATAAAAATCATCTGTCAAGTTCCCGAATCTTACATCAGTATATGCGAGTAAGATGGACGACTACAAGGACTCGTCTCAAGATCCATTACCATCAATTGCCAAATGTATGAAAGAAGATCATTCAAGAATAGAACATATTCAAATCAGACCGTAGTTTGTGCATTCAAAATGTCAGTCAAAATATAATGCACATCACACTTTGTACCATGTTCACTAAATTATTTAGCATGCAGTAAATTTCAGCAACTGAAGAACATCACTATTATCACTATATAATAATATCACTATTATTTAAAAAATACAGTAAAAAGACAGTAAAATTCTGAAATAGTATTACTATTTCAAAGAACTGTTTTCTATTCTAATGTATTATAAAATGTCATTTATTCCTGTGATCAAAGTTGAATATTCAGCATCATTACTCCAGTCTTCAGTGTCACATGATCCTTCAGAAATCATTCAAATGTGATGATTTGATGCTCAAGAAACATTTCTTATTATAAATGTTTAGAACAGCTTAATATTTTTGTGGAAACCATGATACTTTATTTCCAGGATATTTGATAAATACAAAGTTCAAAGGAACAGTATGAATAGTAAAACTATGAATATCTTTACTGTCGCTTTTGATCAATTTAATGCATCTTTTCTAAATAAAAAGTATACATTTCTTTCAATTATTATTATTATTTAGTATTATTATATTTGAAAGGACAACTTACTGAAGTGCAACTGTGTCTGTGGGGGTTTAAAGCAAACAAACAAAAAAGGTTAGATGGTTGGGAAACACTGGGTTTAGTCCAGCTCCAATATGTTATAGCATAAATCAAGAAAATAAAATGTAAGGCCCAACCCTAGAGTCCAGATTCTCTGTTCCACTCCCTCTCCAAAATACAGTTCACCGCTGATGATATGCAGATGGTCCATAAAGTGCATCAGCTGATCTTTTTGGACTTCTGCACATTTGCTTGTTCTTGGTGAAATACACTGAGCTGAGTGTCCAAAGTTTTATTCAACTTTTCTGGGCAGAGGAGCCAGGCCATGATATCCACTGCTGGAGACACTATTTTGTTCGTGTCCTTCATTTGTTTGCAGATCTAACCGCTATGAGCAAAGGGCTTTGAATTTAACAGCCCTTCGGAAAGTGTATTAAACTAAAAATTATAATAAAACCCAAATGGAAAGAATACTCGACTGCACTAGCTGTGCTTGAAACTCATCTAACAGTAGAACTGCTTTTTCCATCAAGCATTTTCCAAAAGTATTTTAGCTGAGAGCGCAGCCGCTCTTGAGTACATGCCGATGGACGACTCCAGATTGTGGTCTGAGAAGGATCGGAAAATGTAAACATACGGCAGTTTGGCAGTGACCTCTGACCCTGGGCCCATGGGACCGCACACATGGATGAGGAACAGTTTGGATGAGATGAATGTTTGATGTGCGGTTTAAGGGTTTGAAATCACTATGGATCAGAGTGAAGGACTAGGTGTTCGGATCTCCCCACTTGTACCCGTGTTTTATGTCCACAGTTTGTACGGATGATTGCGGTTGAGATTTTTTCAACGTTTTCATGTTCACATTGTAATTCTTTCTCTCTTTCCTCCAGAGAGTCTGTCTGTTGCAATAAGCAGTTTCCTGCATAAATCAAAGCCCATTGGAGTCGTCTCAGATACTCCTAAATCTTACTGCTGCACTCGCTCGAGGAGCATTTGCCACTTTAGCGGGACTGTAAACTGCAAGTGTGAAATGAAAAGGTATTTAATGAACCTTAATAACAGCCTTGCAGACAAAACATAATTTAGAGACATATACTAGCATATTCCATCTACTTTACGCTCACTTAAGCCGGGCTCAGACATCATGAGTTTTTAAATCCTAACCAATTATGAAATCTGGTTGTATTACGCACATAAGGAGAATCTTCACAGATGGTCTTCTCTCAAATCTCAAACATGCGCACACTACAAGATGGTGACATCACGCACTACAAGATATTATTACAATTATCATGCCAGAGGCAGCACCTCACATGATCTCATGCGGAAGCGGATGTAAACGAAATGGATATTGTCTGTTTTCCAGCAAGAACTGGAGGTGAGATTTAACTGCCTAATTGAATATCTGTTAACAGTAGTATGCTAGCTAACGTTAGCTTCAAGGGCTAAAATGTTTACTGTTGCTTTGCGACACTAAGGTGATTTCTCTCCAGCTCTTCAGAAACTGAAAAATATACAGAGAGAAAAGGTTGACTCTAGGCAGAATGCAAATGCGATGTGATGACGACTTTGCTTACTAGCGTATGACGTTATCTAGTGACATTTAGCGAATAGGCTTCAGCTACTTTCCATAATTTCCAGTTGCCAACGGATGTAAACGTCTGTTTTTCACTGGAGGTGAAAGCAGCTGGAAAACAAGAAAGAGGTTGCTTTTGGCATTAAACTATATACAGATAGGCTACAATTAAAATGCCACATCTATAAAATATAACATTTACTTATCTAATCTGTCACGTATTAATCAGCTGTTTTCCCATAGTAGATGGTTACAGTAGAACGTCACAAAGTAGCAGATTTGCGCACCGTTCCATCAGCACCTGTTGCTGAAAGTCCCACAAGCAGCTCCTCCAACTCCGCCAACCCTACTTCTCTCATTCACCTCTGTCTACTGTAGACTTGTCTCTCATTGGCTATTCTGAAAGTACTGACAAAATCATAGTCGTAATCATATCGATTTAAAATCCTAAATATCAAGCAGTTGATATTATCGGGGGTGGCCTGGATGTGTCTGCGAGTAGATCTGGAGGTTTTGATCTGTAAACGCCTCACATTACCAGATAATCTGGGCCAAACATTGTAACTGAACAAGGTCCTGGGCCAGATTTTTTCTCAGATTGTCAGGAGGGGTAAAAAAATCGGGGGATAAATTGGTCTAAAACTCCTGTATAGTCTGAGACCGGATTTAGGGCCATTCAAACAGTTTTGCATTTACTTAAGTCCATTAGTTATGGACTTACACATTATGCACATACAGCATTCACACACTAAGAGAGCATGTCATGTGGAGTCACGTCCCATTCACCGAAATGAAAAAGATTTGCACATGGATGTGTGAAACAATTTTGGAGCATCACTGTACGTTCACACCGCCGCCGACTTGAGCTTCCAAAGCGGCCGGAAGTCATTCATTTTCAATGGAAGCTGGCTTTTCTCAGCTGCAAGAGCGTCAATCGGCGTCGCGTTTTGGGCCTTTTGAGCATTTTGAGCGTCAATCAGAAAGTTGAAAGAAGCTCAACTTTATGGTAATGAGCTGTGACGCGGTTCAGCGGCAAGCAGCGGCAAAACGCCAGCAACCAATCAGAATATAGACGTCCTTCACGCTGGCTGATTCCGGAGAAACACACAATGTAAACTTTCGTTCCTCCCAAAAAATTAGTTCCGAGAAAATGGAAGAGAAGCTAATAATCGCCGTTGCTGGGTTTCCTACAGGTTTCCTATCATTTATGACATGATGTTGTTTGCTTATAGGGACCGCATGAGCGCAACTTTTATTTGAAATATTTACGAATGCTCGTTTTAAAGCGGGAATGCAATTAATTTGCTCACGGTGACACCGATTTGACCGCAAATAATAATAATAGCTAACTATTCTTTTTTCCCTGACCAAATGTGACCAAAACGGTTATAAAAATGCTGTCATTATAAAAGGTTTCTTCAATGTATTGCTTGTTTTTTTCTGTTTATTACATTTCCTGTTGTGACACTTCTATTCTCCCTACAACGTCAGAGCGTTCAAAGCGTCCAAAGCATCAACAAGCTTCCCCGTACTTTTTGACAAGTATCCTTGACAGGGCGGCCAGAGCTTCTTTGACGCTCAAGTCGGCGGCGGTGTGAACATACAGTCAGAATTGCACTTTTGTGTTGCTACCCCACTGGAATGATGGTCCATATTCCTTAAGTGATGTTTCCAAAAATGTTAAAAGTCAATAATTGTATTCCTTAAAACTCACCTTTGATCACCAAAATGACATATTTGAACGTTAAACATTTTTGTCATGCCTTAAAATAGCTTGAATGTAGCCCTACACCCTTGCCTCATTTAGTATAAGCGGTTCTATGAATATGTAAATTAGCCCCGCCTCCACTCACTCGCACCAGCTCAGAGATCCACTCGTTGACGATCACACGTTGATGTGATTGGTTACAAGGTAGTTTGTGACGTCAGAAACACCAGAGATTTCAATCCGCGTTTTTGAGACTGTCTTTGGTTCACTGCAGTTTTAAGGAGAAAATACTCAGCAATAGTGTTGACTTGTGAATTTGGACATGGTTTGTCTTAAAGCATATTTAAACCACCACAAAAACAACATTAAAAGCTTGATTTTCTCCACATGGGGACTTAATACATTGACACTCATGTAGATGCCGTAAGAGCTACAGAAAAACACACAAACAGAAACAAACACTTAATGACCCCAACAAAATAACCAACATGACAATAAAGCAATCACATCATACAATTACTAAATGATAGTCATTTATCTCGTAACCCTTTCAGTGAGATGCACAATACGCTACGTGTGCATGAGTGCAAGTATGAGCAATAAGTTGCTGGCTGCAGTTCAATTAATGGCCACCGGTGTCGCTAATAACAAGGGGAATTCTGCACATAGCCCGGTCATGAAACCCCCCTCTATCAGCTCAAGTCTAGCTCATAATCTTTTTGAAAAATGCAACTTAAATGGGCGTGGATGGCTGTGAGAAGAAGGGAGGGAGTGGGTGTGGCACGGCAGGGGAGAGGGGGAACTGTCATCAGCCAGCAGTGTTGCCAGATGTACGATAATTATCGTATTTGTACAATAATTTTGACCTCTGTACAATGTACGATCAATAATGAACAATAATCTCAGAGTTTTCAGTCGTTCGTCCAAACACACATCCTACCGCTTCTCTCTCTGACCCCGAATCATTTCGCAGGCTCGCCTGCCTGCACGTACACACACACACAACACGGTGTCGCCCGGCCCGCACGTCAACACTACACATTCACAAGTCTCCCGCATTAAGCATACAATTGATATATTATCGAAATATCTAAAATGTTCATAACGACCGCTTATTTAACAAAAGGCAAGCAAAATGACCAGGGTTACATTTTAGACACACTCTGAAGGGATAGAAAAGTCCTCAGGACTTGGTACCGCATTACTCGCAAGACGTAACTTGCATTGGTCATCGACAAGGCCGAAGTCCACCATTCTCCAATTCTCGAAGCTCTCTCGGGTAAAATGTTTGCGGCACTTGCGTCCCATGATTGTCTCTCTCCTTTACTACGCGATATCACAGTTTGACATGTCTGTGGAAAGATCCACGTGGTGTCATGAATAATTAAGAGACCGTGTCTTCTCATAGGATATAAAAACTCAGTCTCATTAATAATTATGAGAGACCGATGAGTCATCAACGCACTACACTGTGCACTGCCACGTCACAGCCTGCGATGAAGATTTTAAACCCGGAAGACGAAAATAGCTGGAAAAAACTAACATTTAACCATTTTCGCCCTACTATTAAATCTAACAGATGCTAACATTGTCTTCAATGTTGTTCAACACACATACCTCTGTTAAAATCTCAGAAAATTTGGTTTAGGGTTTCATGACCCTTTAAGCTAGTGGCAAAAAAACCTGCAAGATCTAAAGACGCATTTTTTAAAAGATTAAACATCTTTTAACTTTTCATTTTTAGACTGCAGTGTCATGCATAAAACACAGGGTCTTGAGATGTGTTTTTTAAAAAGTTGAACTGCTTTTAACTTGAGCGCTGTGTTTTTAAAATGGCATGTCATGCACAAGATGCTGCAAAAGAAACGCAATGGTCAACACTTCTAGAGCATGTTTACATAGAAAAACAATGGGAAAGCAACGCAGTAAACGTGTTCTGTGTGAACTGCATCTAAAGCAGTTTTCACACTGGATTATATTGCTTGATCCTGTTTGAACGCCTCATTCGGCCAAATTGTGTTGGAACCAAATGCTCATGTTTTACATGAATCGCAACCCATGCAGTTCCATGTTGATACACAGTGGAGTTTTAAAGACCGCTTACCCTAACCAAACTAAACTAAAATATGACGTCAAATAGACTCAGAAGAACACTAAACATCTTGAAAGACTCTTCAATCAAATGTTTTTCCAGGCTTTACACATGTGTTTGGCGTTCTGGATATTAATATTTGTCCACTCCCCCACAGATATTACTGATAGGGCCCATTAAATGCTTTCCCCTTCATTCACACCTCCCTCCCTCCAAAGGGACCTTCACTCTAATGCATTCAGCATTGCATTGAGCCACGTGAGAATACACACACCAACACACAATGTATGTGCATGGGTGGCTTCTCAATCTCACTCGCTCTCCCTTACTCCATCGTTTCCCCTCATTCATTTATTATTATTTTCTGCTGTGTAGTTTATGATTTGTGGAATCCCTCATGAACTTGAATAAGTTTCCACCAATAAAAAGACAACACCCAATACATGCATGCTTTCCTGTTTGCAAAAGCCACATAATGCTGGCCCTGTTCAGCACTGGAGTTGTGGTATGTTGTCTAATATAGGGAAAGCATGCAAGGTGATGACGGGGTCAGATCTGGCCAGGAAGTGGGAGATCACAGGGGGTCATTTGCTTTTGGCATGTATTAAACTCTAACCCCCGCAGACTTCCACCTCCTTTTCAATCCCAGTCCAGCCCCATCTGTTTTATTTCCCATAGGGTGTGAATGCAGTTCTTGTTATATAGCATGCATAAATTACATTAAATGGTTAAACATTATGTGGAACAGCTCTGGGACCTGTGTTTCTGTGACTGCATTGGTAGGGTGATTCACTCAAAAATACAGATTCATTCAGGAATTAAACCTCAACTCTGTGTTGATCGAAGACGGTTTATGCAGCTTTGGCTTCGTTTGGAACTTGTTCCATTGGTGCAACTAATATATTGTGTCTAAATTGTAGGTTACTGAATATTAACTTCTTGTTAGTTGAACTTGTGTATAAAAGCAAAATCACACTTGCAGTTGTGCTTGAGTGTGATATATAGTGTGCACGTCACAACTTGAATATACTATATTTGTTACAGCTATTTGTAAAAAAAAATATATGTGAAACATTTACCTATGTGTAAATGTAAACAGTATTGTCACATGTATGTTCTGTTTTGGTTTAGTTCTAGTTCCTGTACCTGTTTCATTTGTTCCCATTTTCCCGCCACTAGTTTGTTTCTATGGTAACTGATTTGAGTTACACACCTGTTTCAGTTGAAAGATTCCCATGTGTATTTAAGCCCTAAGTTCTTTGTTCTATGTCATAGCCGATAGATAGGATACGGCACGATTACAAACCGTTCTCGGCCCAGAATTCTCAGCACGGTTGGCTAATTTTGCTGAACTGTGCTGGTATTTGTCACTTGTCTGTTGCCTGGCTACCAGCTCTCTCTTCCTTTAAAGGCACATAGTGTCCACAGTGCATAAGCTCCGATCTTACAGAAGCTTATTAACATCAACCTTGGCTTCGAGCTCAGAGCAAAGCATGGACTTTCCATTACTGCACACTACTTCCTTTTTTTTACTTGTTCTTCTCACATCCTCTCTCAATGGATGCAAACAACGAGATGGATTGTCTTTTAGGTTCCTTATTCTATCAGCCCAAGCCATTTTCTCTGTCTGTCCTGTCCCATAGTTTGACGTCTTCCCATTGCTCTGTTGGCTGAGGGTGGAGAAATACTGGAGCGTTTGGCATTTCCCTGAGCGCTCCATGCCAATTCACCTTAGCGCTGCATCATGGCATCTGTAAGGAGTACATCACAGCTGGGATAGAAAAACAAAGTATTGCCAAATGAGAGAGCAGGTTTGTGAGTGCACTTTGTACAAATGGGGCATGAAGAACATACTGAAGCTAAGAAGCAAAAACGGGTTAGTCAGAAATGATCATGGCATTCGAACAGTCTCACAATCTTCATTAAAAATGTCCTCAGTTTAGTGGATTATATCAAGCTGTGGGAATCTTTAGATGTTATTGTGTTTAAAGATGCTGGGAATATTATCACATGTTTGAAAGCAAAATAGAGAAGTGGCTTTAACCACCTTTATGCTCAGATACACTGCCCGGCCCCCCAAAAAAGTTGCTGTTTGGATTTAAATCGGCAAAGGCTTAAGAGTCTATGATTGGATCATTATTGCAGTGATTAATTAGCCTGATGTCGTCATACTCAGATTCTAGTCAGTATGTGAGTCTGATACTGCTCCATTGGGCTGTGATTATGGGGCGTGTTTCACCAAACCAGGAAAAAAAAATGCCTCTGCACTCAGTTGGATAGACCGAATCTCGTAGTAAGGACGGCAAAAACATCTTTCCAATCGACAAATGCCTTGATCGCGATTCTCTGTTCCTCTTTTAAAAATAATGCGCTGTATAGATCTTCTATAATAGACGCGATGGCTGAACACATCTCAATTCTCCAGAGGCAGCCATTCTTTGTTGTAAACGAATTCAACCCAAGCACTCTTTGGTGACGTGGATGATTACGTTGCTGTTGACCATCTTTCCATCATTGTATAAAGCCCGCTCTGACAATTTGATTGGTCCGAACAGCTTTGGTTCGGGCATACTTGCTTCACAACGGATCAAGTCCAGACCGAACTTCCCATCCTCAAATGTTATGGGCGGGGCTAAGTTTGGCTGGCATCCAGGCTAGTGATTAATAGGTTTATAGCATGTTGTATGTTTGGTAACAGTTCTTCTAACCATAATTGATGGAGTGTGTCCTTGCATGAAGACACATCATGGCCATATAGGATGACAATCTTTTGTGGATTTAACGGCTGAAAATAATACTAAAAACTATGTGTAGCAGAATATGCCTCTGTTAATATTTGCTGGTATGTGTATATACTCACATGCTTCAGTGATGAAGATCTTCTCTGCCTGTCTGAAATACAAACATTTTGTGAACTCTTGATTCCTGACTAGCTCTCATGTGATTTAATTCATCTGCGTGCAACTTAATTTGGTCAAACTTCCATGAAGGCATGCAATTTCAATCATACAACATTCCTCTCTTTCAGGGTAAATGAAAAGTAGAGCGTTAAAATGGGTATATTTATTTTCACTTGGGGAGGCTGTTCTTGGGGCACACGACACCCAGAATTCCTCTCCAAACCGCTCACCTCCTTTTGACCTTGAAAAAAATCTAGTGGTGTTAAAACACCCCAATTTCATTCATCCTCCTTCATGCAGAACCACAACAGAGACTAGATAAATTAGATCAGCATGTGGGTGTAAAAACCTCAAATGTAAACTGCTTGAGGGAAATGCGACTGCAGAGACGAAAGGATGAAACTTATTCTGATTTGTGGAATGTGTCTCCTGCTTTCATTCCTCTGTCTGTTTTTATCGGTGTGTGTTGCACAGATCTGTGTGTATGCTACACTCTTAAAAATAAAGGTCCAAAAGACCATTTTCACAGTGATGTCATACAAAAAAAAAAAAAAAACATTTTTGGTTCCCAAAGCACCTTTCAGTGACAGTTCTTAAAAGAACCATTTTTTTTATTATCTAAAGCAGGGGGGGTTTCTATGGAAGCTTGTTTTTGCTACTGAATAAAAAATTCAAATTGCAGATTATAAACTCACAATTGCTAGTTGTAAAATCAGAATTGCAATTCTCGCAATTGCGAGTTTATTGCTCGAAATTACAACTTTTTTTCTCACAAAGTTTATAATTGACAATTATGACTTTGTCTCGCAATTCCGACTTTTTTCTCGCAATTGTGTTTGACTCATAATTCTTTCGCAAAAGTTTATTTTTAAAATTCCAAATTTATAACTCAAAATTCAGACTGTTTTCTCGTAATTGCAAGTTTATAACTCATAATTCAGACTTTTTTCTTGCAATTCAGAATTTATAACTCGCAATTCAGACTTTTTTCTCGCAATTCAGAATTTATTTCTCGCAATTCTGACTTTTTCCTCGCAACTGTGTTTATGACTCATAATTCCGACTATTTTCTTGCAATTGCCATGTTTATAACTCAGAATTCTGACTTTTTTCTCGCAATTACAAATGTATTGCTATTGCTATTTTCAGAATTGTGAGATAAAAACTCGCAATTGTGAGTTAAAAAAAATCATAAGTGTGAGATCCAAAAAAGTCACAATTACCTCTTTTTTTTTTTCTTTTTTCTTTTTTTGCCATGGCAGAAACAAGCTTCCATGGTTTTCAATACTTTAGATGTCACTGACCCCCAAATATAAATGTCCAAATTCTAGGAATCCAAAATGTATTTATCTTTAGATTTATATTTTACAAATGTAGTTTTTTTATTTTGTTTGTTTATTATCTAATATTTATTTAACTAAATGTTTATTTAGTTAATTAGTTTAATAATTTTTATTCTTTATTTTATTTTTTTATATTTTTACACTATACTTTTCTGTAAACTTTTACACAGACTCTCTAGCAATACCTTGTGGCCCTCTGGTTGTCCCCGGACCCCAGATTAAGGCCTTGTCCAAATGGACACGGGTAATTTTATAACCAGAGTTTTTCCTTCAGCGTTTTAAAAAAAATCGCGTCCACACATGCTCGGTCTCCGTATACATGAAAACGCAAAAACACGCTATCAAGCGCGATCAAGAGCATGCCACGCCAGCAGGCGGCGATATAACCCTTAACCGTAAAGCCACGTTGGCCAATCAGAAGCGCAAATCTGACGTCAAACACAGCGGATAACGGCGCACATTCTGACGTCGCAAGGCAAAAACCCCGGTTTCACTGTCTACACGACAACACTGTAACCGGCGTTTCTGAAAATCCTCACCCTGGCAGGGGTTTTCAAAAATGTTCGGTTTCAGTGCGTTTCCGTGTGGACGAACGGCCGAACCACGTAAAAAAAGTCACGGTTATAAAAATACCCGTGTCCGTGTGGACAGGGCCTAAAACTCCTTATCTAAAGTAGTGGTTCCCACCCTCCACCAGTTCCCCCAACACTACACATTTTTAGCTGACGCACACATCTGACATCTTTGGAGTCTACTGTCTTTACAAATAAGTTGTGTTTGATATAAACCTCTGATATAAAGAACCTTTTTTTCCACTATAAGAAAAATTGTGAAATGTAAATGTTCAGTGGATGTTAAAGGTTTTTTATGGAAACACAGATGCCAATAAAGAACCTTTATTTTTAAGAGTGTACATCAGTGAATGTGTTTTTAATTACCATTTAATTATTCTCCAGCAGCATTGAGTGTGTGTCTGAGGAGTGGGGTGGAGCAGGGTCGTGCAGAGGGGGACGGGTGGAGGCAGGGTGATGTCACTGCTCTTTTTTTGCCCATGGGGAGTATAGAAGGACAACAGGAGGACATCAAGAGACTTGTTTCACTGCAGGTTTACTATTGCAACATGCTAAGCAGCATATGCTTGTACACCTCAAACATTTGCTCAGTTTTAAAGCCCCCACCCTTTAGGACACTTATAATCAGTGTTAATCTTTTCAGCAAAATTACTGACGAAAATGTTTGTAGCTGAAGGGTTTGATTTCATTAGTGATTGGATTCACATAATCCAATCATAGTGTGCTGGGGATTGACCCGCTTGAGCTGAAAGAGCTGAACTCTGGTAAACTCAAGTAAATTAATCTCAATCAAACATATCCTATATGAGATTATTCAGCGATTGGGGAGTTGAAACGATTAGGGTGAGTAAAGTAGAATAGATTTGAAATGATTGAGATGAGTAATGTTTTTTAAAGTCTCTTATGCTCATTAAGGCTGCATTTATTTTCAGAAATCATTCTAATATGCTGATTTGATGAAACATTTGTTGTTGTGCTGCTTAAAGGGTTAGTTCACCCAAACATTATGTTATCAGTTACTCACCCTTATGTTTTTCCAAACCCGTAAGACTTTCTTTCGTTCATCTTCGAAACACAAATTCAAATATTTCAAATGAAATCGGAGAGCTTTCTGTCCCTCCATTATCAGTTTACGCAACTACCACTATTGACGCTTTAAAAAGTTCATAAAGAGATTGTAAAATTAATCCTTAAAAATTGAGCAGTTTAGTCCAGGTTTTCTGAAGAGACTTGATCACATTATATGATGAACAGATTGAATTTAGGCTTCTATTCACATATAAACATTGAACATAAACAGAAGCTTAACCATACTTGCTTGACGCAAGAGAACAAACCTCATGTTGTGTAACATGAGAATGAACATCATTGGTTCTTGTGGAAGCTCAAACGTGCTGCGTACCACGAGAATGAACCTCATTGGTTCTTGCTGAAGCTCAAACGTGCTCCGTAACACACAAGACTGAATCTTATCGGTTCTTACTGAAGCTCAAACGTGCTGCGTAACACAAGAATTAACCTCATTGGTTCTTGCTGAAGCTCAAACGTGCTGCGTAACACGAGAATGAACCTCATTGGTTCTTGCTGAAGCTCAAACGTGCTGCGTAACATGAGAATGAACCTCATTGGTTCTTGCTGAAGCTCAAACGTGCTGCGTAACACGAGAATGAACCTCATTGGTTCTTGCTGAAGCTCAAACGTGCTGCGTAACACAAGAATTAACCTCATTGGTTCTTGCTGAAGCTCAAACGTGCTGCGTAACACAAGAATTAACCTCATTGGTTCTTGCTGAAGCTCAAACGTGCTGCGTAACACAAGAATTAACCTCATTGGTTCTTGCTGAAGCTCAAACGTGCTGCGTAACACGAGAATGAACCTCATTGGTTCTTGCTGAAGCTCAAATGTGCTGAGCTACAAAGTTGTA